GCAATAATTTTGAGCACCATCGGTAGTTGTTCATCTCACTCAGTTCACGTGGTTTTAGATTATAACAACCCGGTATTAGACTCAATCAAGTTTGCTGTTTAATGAAAATACGTTGCATTATGGTTTGTTTATTGTTATAGTTTATTGTTATATTCTTTTTACTTATGGTTGCTCTCAAAAGGGCCGTTTGTTTTGAATATTTTCGGGGTTTTTGATGACGTCATCGTCCATACGAGGCGTACGTAAAACAGAGGGTTCGTATAACTGGGGTACGTAAAAACGAGGTTCTACTGTACTAATTACTAAATTAGTCTCTACTTATTAATAACATTCACTGACTTTGTGACCCCTGACTTCTCTCATTTATCCCCCTTTTTTTAGCGCCCTTAAGCTTTGTGATTTTCACGATGAAATGACGATCAAAAATAAGGGCGTGCGAAATTCTGAATGATACTTTTGTTTTCAAAAGCAATGCCAGGCCATACCCGGTAGCTATTATAAAACTACAAGCTGTGACACTCAAATTGAAGTAAATAGATACCCAAAATTGCAATAAAACAAACAATACAAATTTCCTTGTTTTTAACTCGCAACAGTATTAACATTGCCTATAATACAGTCTTGTCCATCTTTATGAATTCTTTATATTCATAAATGATAGAGATTCTGTCAAATAATGTCCAAGCTGGCAACTTTGTGACACTGGCATGGGCCCCCACAACTGGCTCGCCCCAGTTACTCGTTCCTCCAATGTGACAAACCCATTGAAAGACGAATCAAACCCAGCATAACCCCCAGTTTTGCTTTTTAGGGAAACCTCATTGTGATTGGCCCTGTGGGGACATGGCAACATTTCAATGTGTTCTTTTGCTTATTATTTATTTCTCTCATTACGTAATCAAGATGTACAAACAAATGAGAGCAAGAGGATGACCCTATAAGCTTGAAAGCCTGTTTCCATAGGGGTCCTTGACCTATAAAAAGAGAAAAATACATAAAAATCTTAAATATAATAGATAAAAAAAATTGATTGGGCCTATGTGGGGACATGACAACATTTCTTAATACAGTTACATTATTATGCCGAGCTCAAAATGCCCCGGGTCCTACTCCAGTTGGAAGAATTGAGCATATTAAAAACAATGTATGAATAAATGTACTTTAAATTCAGTTTAATTAATTAAGTACTATAATTAACTTCGATTTCAAGTATTTGCCAAAAAATAGTTAATAGAAATGTCTGACCTAAAATTTTGCTCAGCCCTACTGCATAGTGTGATTTGCAGCAGCATTGCAGATCCTTAGCCTCCAAGTTCCTATGGTCATGTTAAAAGGTTAGCTTACAGCATGATTTATTTTAAGTGATTTAATTTCTTTTAGGATTTGGTTTGGCATTTATTGCTTATCCAGAGGTAGTTGCTAAACTTCCTGGTTCACCAGCATGGTCCATCCTTTTCTTTGTGATGCTGCTCACTCTGGGATTGGATACTCAGGTAAAAATAATAATGTCTGTGGTAGGATATCATATACATATTCTCAATAATTAACAAAATGATAATAATAGTAGTAGCAGTAGTAGTAATTACAATTAATTATAATAAATACAACTGGTAATATACTGTTTACTTATTTTTAAATGGGGGTCACACTTAAAGTTCCTTGAACTTAATTGACCTCCATCCACACACAGTTTTTTTCCTGTTGTTATAAAAATTATATAATTGTAAAATATTATTTATTTTTGTATGTGAAAAAAAGCCTAATAAATTAATAAATAAAGAATAATAATAATTACAATTAGTAATAATAATTACAGTTAATTATAATGAAGGTGATGTTTTGAATTTATGTATCATTTCCAGTGAAAGTCTGTAAGCACTTCATATTGTCCATTTGGTTGAAAAAAAAAATCAATACTCATACCGTTGTGTAACCATGTCCTCTTCTGTACTGGAAAGTATTTATATTCATGCTTTTCATGCTTACATCTATTCAGCATGGACTAAATATTTTCATGTGAGCATAACATGGAACCAAAACACATTAAAAAGTTATATTATTCAACATTAAGAGCAGATAATTCTTTATATTGACCATAAAATTTTGAAAAAAAATTTATGATTTGGAGAATCTGCCTTAAATATAAGGATATTTTACAATGTATTTTCCTATATATTTTCAAGAATACTCAAAATATGTGAAACCCTTTTTTCAGTTTACAATTTTAGAAACAATCTGCACCGCCCTGACGGATCACTTTCCTAAACAATTGAGAGATCGCAAGACCTACGTCATGTTGGCGACATCAGTATTTGGTTTTCTGCTTGGATTAACCTGTATCACTGAGGTAAAGTTTCTACTATTTTCATAAAAGTTCCACATCTGTGTCGGTATGAACCAATGGAGTGGAGTTGAATATCTTGATGGTTAAGATACTTGTCTTCCAATCCCAGGGTCCTGAGTTCAATCCATGTCATTGTAGCAGGATTTGTTTCTCTTGTTGTCATAATCTATGAACTGCTATTATTTACTAACACATAACATGATGAATAGTATGCTGACTAATTATATATTCATAACAATACAAAAATATTGATGGAAAGTTATAAAGGTATACATTTAAGGCAATAACATTGTGAACAGTAAAAATATAAGTAACCGTTATAATTAAGATTATAAAGTATTATTACTAAAATGAAAGAAATATTTATAAAAATAATTCCTTATATTGGTAAAAGTTGAGTTATATATAATATTAGTAATGAAGTAAATAAATAAAAAAATATTCAGAAAATAAAGGAATGAAAACGCAATTTGTACATTCTGTAAAAGATGGAATTTAGGGTAAAAGTTTGCTATATTCTATTAATGACTAAAATATTTGTTTTGTCTAGGCTGGACCATGGTGGGTATCACTGTTGGACAGCTATGGAGCTGGCTTCGTACTAGTCATCTTTGGCCTATTGGAGTGTTTGGCAATAGGTTGGGTCTATGGAGTTCAACGATTTACTAGTGATATAGCTACAATGATTGGTGAAAAGCATGTTAATACGCACATTTTCAGAATATGGCATTTGTTCTGGTGTGTCCTCACACCGTTGTTTTTGAGTGTAAGTTTAATTTTTTTTTTTTTTCATGATAGTTGCAATATTGGTGGTGATATTATAGGATAATTATTTTGTATATTTTTCAGTTTTATATATTAATTTGACAAAGTTAGTGAATAGAGGATTTGTAGTGTAAGTAGTGAATTTAACTTCCCTTGATGTTGGATGTTTGGGACTTACCTCCACCTTCATGTTGGGAAGTAGAATTCACCTTAAACCATATGTGGCAAAGACAGGCCAAACCAGTCACTCATCGCAAAAATCGATTTTGAGGTATTAATGCAGGGTTAAAGAGGGAAATAAATCATTCAAATCTGACATTTCCTTATGAAGTTACAAGCATTTAAACATACAGCTGTTTTGAAGAACAATATATGAGAAATCAGCCTTCAAAATGGAGAAAATAACAGCATAGCATGATATATAAATATATAAAGGTTAGTTTAGTGCAATAAAATAGATTTTTTTTTAAATTGACATTCCAGCATATTTTCGCCATTTTCTCTGAAACACAATTTCGACAAGTGACTGGTTTGGCTTGTCTTTACCACATATTGTATTTGTATAATATTTGTCCACAAGTTCTGTCCTCTCTTTAATTTTTCCTTTGCTTAGAGTCTTTGTAGTCTGTAGGTTCACAATGCATTTGTCATTTCTATTCATGAACCTTTCCGTGCATTATATTTTTTTTTTTAAAATAACATCAATTTATTTTAGTTCATAGTTACTTCATATTCCATTACTTATATTCTTAAAACTCAAATGATGTTTTATAGTTTACATAGGTCTTTGGTCAAGTTTGTTACAACTTGTATAAATGACAATATTTTTGTGTTAGTAGAATAAATGGTAAAGAAAATGGGGGGAAAATGTATTTTTAAGGATGATCTTGACATTTTCTTGATTTTTTTTACAGGCTTGGAATTGTTATTTTAAAAATATATATTTCTTTGACAATCTCTCTATATTGTTTCATTTTACTAAGATGCATTTTCTTTTTAGTTTGTTCTTTTATTTAACTGGATTGACTGGTCTGAACCTAAGTATGGTGACTTGCCATTCCCATCGTGGGGTGTTGCCATTGGATGGCTTATAGTCAGCAGTATTATTCTCTGGGTTCCTGCAATCTGGATTTTTGAAATTGCTACATCTCAGGGCACGCTGTTAGAAGTAAGTGTGTTTGCGATTTTTTAGCTCTATTGAGGAGCTCTAGGAATACCTAGCTGATTGATTAATAGATCTTTTTTGAGCTCCGATGAGGGCGGGCTGAGTGCTGATTGATTAATAGATCTTTTTTGAGCTCCAATGAGAGCGGGCTGAGATGGCTGATTGAATAATATATCTTTTCTGCACTTCTTTTAGCTACGATGAGGGCGGGCTGAGCTGGCTAATTGATTAATAGATCTCTTTTGTATGGGTGGCCGTTAAGTCTATTATACTGCCCTCATCAGAACTTTTGAGATTACGAGAACTTGGTATTATGAAGTTGAGAGTGCATCTGCATAATTACAGTAACATGGACAAAACAATATTAACTAGAGCAGTCACTCCATAGAGTACATGCCGTCGCCATGTGCCTGAATACAGAACCAACAATACTTAGGCTGTGTATGATGGGGAGAACAGCAGCATACCCTCAATGAAATAATGCAATCGTCCGTCGTACTCAGGAACATTATTTTCTAGAGTGCTGCAGCCTACCCTCAAGAAAATAATTGAAACATCCGCCATATGCAGACACATTGTTTTCTTGAGTGCTGCCTAAATGCGAGAGACGATTCCATTACTTTTGTTTATGCTCCAAGATAAAAAAAATTAAATGTATGGATGTTGGCTAAATTTAAACTGATAATTCATTGTTTGCATGATGGTATTTTGTATCTATTAACCAGATCATATGCAAAAGGATCTATAATTTTAAAGTAGTTCTAATTAAGTAATTAAACATCTGGTACACCATGAGTTTCTTTTGCCATGAATACTCTGAAAATACATTTAAAAGACTGCAAATCAGTGGGTTTTAATTGAGTACCAGATGTCTAATTATTATTATTAATGTTTACTTACCATGAAAACCTAAAAAATATTTTAATAGAATGAGTGTGCTCAAACGTTGATTATTTATATCTGCATTTTGTATATTTAGTTATTATATTATATATTTCTCCTTTAGCGAATCTTACAAATGCTGCAACCAGCTCCCAAATGGGGCCCAGCTCTGCATAGACACCGTTTGGAAGCTGATCAGATGCACAGACATCGTAATACTACAATGGGAGGAACTCTGAGGCGTACACAACACTATGTTATCAATGATGAAGAGTCAGTTGAACAGCAAAAGGTCCCCTTGCAGGAAGACTAAATTATTGACCCCCTTCCAAGACCAATAGGTACAAATCTAAAAGCCGGCCACTCACTGCACCCGAAGGTTGTCAGTCGACACAATTCCATGGGGAACGCAACGCGAGGACGAGTATGCAAGGGATCTTTTTTAATGACGATCAACTCAGACTGCCACCGGCCCAAAGGATTGAATTTGTGCTTCACACGTTGACTGCCAGACCTTTTTTTTATGGTTCCTTCCTGTGTGCGAAAACAAGTTGTACATGTACATGTACAAACATCCTTTTTTTTAAAATTTTATCTAGTCATATATCATCAACATTGTGTGTCTAATAAATTGGCTGGAAAATATTAGGGGATTAGTAAACTCGTCGACGTCACTGTGATAGCACTTTTTATTGACTGTGCCAAGTGCAAGTATCTCGCCTGCTTTTTGCATGGGATGGTATATGTTCAAAGGGTGCCCCAATTGTGCCGCTCGAGTGTACTAATGGCAACATAACACAACAAACACACATACATCATTTGTACGTTATCGTCTTGGTGTATCTTCCCCAAACTACCAGCCGTTGAGTGGTTCTACAATGTATAACAAAGAAGTTATAAATGCTAGAATGTTACACCGATTTTTGACGAGTGTACCTGTCCCTGGCACCCTCAGCAACACCCTGTGGGTGAGTATACTCGTCGCTGGCAGCACATGTTAATATATAAACCTTATAGCGCCTTGTAACATACTGCATTTTTAGAGGCTCCAAGTACTGTATTAACTTGTGGAGGATAGGCCTGGCTTTGTATCCTTTGCATTAGTTTAATAAAATGCTATGACCACTGTTTGCCACTGTTATAAAACAATACACTAAGAAGAAAACACATTTTGGTAAAGGTAATAATGTAATGACGATGTTATTTGAAGTGAAATAAGCTTTCATTTTTTAGGTGAAATGGAGAAAAATTAAGCAAATTTTTGACAGGTTATAATTGAAAAACACTACTAAACTACCCATTGCTTTATAGATTAACCCATGCAAGTAAATTACATATTAGTGTTTAATGATGATACAATGTAAGGTACATTCAAAGGATTTCAATGTTTTATTGCTTTAGTTGTACACACTGTCATGTGGTATTCCAAGTGGGTTATCTCTTAATTTGTGAACCTGGTAGTGGTATACAGGGTAGTGGTATTTCAGGAAGTTATTAGGTCGGTACACCTAAGTCAATTGCGAGTGAGATATCGCTAAAGTTAAATATTGCAGGTGGGTATTGACTTTAGAGTGTACCTGGTTGAAATATTTCAATAGTACTAGCTTTAGTTGTACTGTATTTAGTAATATCATACTTTTGTTGGGTACCTGGAGTGTCATACAATGTAACTTTATTTATTCGATATATGCATCTGGAGGTGACATTCCAGGTGTGTTGCTTTGGGTGTGCACCTGGATACCAGGTGGCATCACAGGTTTTTGTACCTGGATGTGATATACCAGGTGTGTGTTGTCTTTGATTTTGCACCAGGTAGTATCATACTAGACAGGGTGTGCAACTGGATACCAGGTGGCTTCATAGATGTTGTACCCGGACGTGATATTCCAGGTTTGTTAGTTTGTGTCCTGCTGTTTCAGGTATTATTGAGTACTGCTCAATATGTAGCTCAGTTTCAATCATATTAAAATGCAATATTTTGCAGACTCCGAATAACGACTGTACTGTATACTGCAATCCTATATATTTACTTAAATTACCTCGAAATATGTGTCTGTAAGAAATAAATACATTATATATACAGTATATATAAGTATACAATTTCACATATATTATTAATTGTATATAGGAATTAGCAACTGGACAAAATTAGATAAATTATTTTACAGTACTTGCATACGTTCCATATGCGCCTATGGCCCAAGGGGGCTGGGGAGGTGCGATGTCTTTGACGAGAATGCAATCGGGTGTGTTCAGGTGTCGCTCAAAATGTCTCAGAAGTAGTCAGGGGTTTCAAGGGCTTACTTAATTAATTTTTAGGGTCTACTAATATGTAATTGTATTATTCTCCCTGGAAGGGAGGCCCTGTCCCTTTCCATGGCTTTCCTGCTTGTGCCATGTTATTGAAAGTTCAAGAGGTGAATGGATTGTATCTTACTCTCTTGTAAATAACTTACTTAAAAAATATTATGTGACAAAAGGTTAAATCTTGCATTCTTATCAAAAAGTGTAGTATGTGAATAGTATTTGTATGATTCAGTTTGTTGACAGGGTTTTCTTGCATTAAATATACAAATATTTGAACTATTTTTAGTCTTTGTCAGTGGGACATAATAATAAGTCAACAGTATACATCCAGAATGTGTGCACTATCTTATACATATCATTTATGTAGATAAGCAAGTGATTTTAAGACAAACTTTGAAGTTTTGATTGAGTATGGGAGATACTGTATATATCTTATTTTAAAGTAGATTACAAGTGAATAAATGAATATATTAAGCTAGGTACACATTGTGTAGAAAATCATCTGCTGGCGTGATTCCAACTTACTGCAACTAGGTGCGTACAGCGCTAGTTTTTTCTTGATGGTTCGCTCAGAATGCCGCTGACCATCGGCAGACAGCGCCATGTCGTCAACCACTCAAAACGAGCGTAGGTTAAATCTTTAGCCAATAGTCATAAGGCGCAGTGTGTGCCCGGCTTTAAGTTCAGAAAGATCAAGTTTTTGCCATTTTCAACAGAAATATGAGTGGATGTATCACTATTCAAGTTAACTCATGCATGTATTTATTTGAGTGTTTATGTACTAAAAGGCAAACCCAGCTATGCAAGTGAAGTATTTATTAATACCACTTGAATTGTGCATTAACATGAACATCCAAATATTTGTATGGTTTGTATCAAAGAATTATTGTATACAAGAGGTACATTGCATTAGGTTGTATACAGT